TTCTTGTATACATTTTATATATTGATAAACCTGTCAACGTCAAATTTGATAATAGTAAAAACAATTTCCGGGAGATGGCGTATTAAATTAAACTAATTAATGTAATTTAAGAACTTGTGTATAATTTCTATACGTTTATTATTGTTAATGTGTTCAATCTTAAGTAGCAAAAAACACAGTGTGCATTCATTGTAACCCAGTGATTTAGGTTAATTAGTTCTAAACAATAATTACAAAATTAGTCGACTGAATAAACAGATCAATTTCATACATTATTGTCTGCTTAAAAACGTAGTGCAGCAAAAAAATGAATTGTCAAAAATAATTCGTTACAAAAGATAACTGAATTCTTCGAAAACCTAAAATAAAGATGCATTATCCGTTTTTAAAATCCCAGATTATCCTATATAACAGCATTTGCATAAAAAATATACAGTATTTTAATATACAGGTAGCCCTCGTTTAAAATCAACAATTAATAAGTGTTTTTTCGCAGCGGCCTTATTGTAAATCGGCGTAAATCGATCCGGCGCAAAACGACGTTTACCTGTACTTGATTGTCAATTTGTCCAAATGTTTTGGATTTTTGTTCAGAAACTGATTATAGTAAAGTAATAAAGTAAAGCTAATACCTCGCATAGTCTAGTTTTCAAGGGTACGCGACAGCTCGACGACTGACAAGTGGGCGACAGATACTCAAAAAATATTTTTAAGAAACTCATTTATAATTATTATTATATTAATTATAACAAGTTATTGGGTAAAAAAATTAATACAACATAAAAACTAAATTAAAATAAAGGTCTATTATTAATGTATTTGTTCATCACAGATGGACAATCTTGACTGTATAAAAGAGAAAAAAAGAACATTTATGAAAATAACGCCGTGTTTAAATATTTTAAAGTGGACTGCGAATCAGGACTATGCAATTGCTGTGCTTGTTTTTTATTTAATTAATTTATATTTAATTAAAAATATTCATAATTAAAATGAAATTGAATACTCAGTAATGTTTCGAATATTTGCGCATTGCGTTTTACATAAAATTATGTTCACTCAGTTAATACCATGATATAAAGTATAATTCCATTTAATAATATTAGTATTGGTGCATATGTATTCAATTTAATTTTAATTAATGCAATGTCAATATGGCCTATTGGAATTGAGTATGGTCGGATCCGCTCGTTAGTTCTTGACGTATGCCAAATGTAGTATATTATATAAATGAATATGAATTTAACTAATGATAAAATCGCTTTTTGGAGCTTTTCAAGTTCGACATTAACTACATGATCTTTTCATTGGAAGAGAATTTTTAAATTTTTGGAAACATACAGAAATACACGACGATAGGTTCGTAGAAAGTGTTAGCGGGCGTATTTTGGTGATGTAAAAAATGGCAAATGTGGTAGCAATGTTTCTGTGTACCACTTAGCGGTTACAGTCTGACCAGTTTTCCGACCTTCATGAGGTTAATAAGAAGTTAATAAGAATCAAAGAAAAATGTCCTGTCTGGAATCTTTGAAACCACTTGGCAATAGACACAAAGGATGATGCATATATGTATTTTGGTATACGTGGAAACTTTTCATATGCTTGAGTAGACGTCAAAATCCAAAGAGAATGGCAAAACTAATTTCTTGCTGTATTAGTGGTGTAATTTCTACCGAAATTATATGACTAACATTTCGTTTTCTCGTATGAGGATTCTTTATTATCAATATAAAATAATTAAACTAAAATAAATAAATTATTAATTAATTGCATAACTAGTTAAATAAACACTTTGAGTACAGTAGATGCTTTACTATTTCGTAATTATTTTCGACAAAACCCGTAAATAATTGAAAACAATTGGTTGAAAAAATCAGACAAAATTAATTGAAAAGGTTTAGTTCTATCTTCAATGAGCATATTTCATAATGTAATAAGATATTGTAACATTCTTGACATATCTCGGTAATGTTGAATTAAATAATCTTATTTGATTTTCGAGAAATTGCAAAATATTTAGAAATAATTAGAAATATGTAATGACCAAATTTCAAAGCTTTTTAGAATAGAAGATGAAATACCACTTTGATATGATTTGATATGTTAATTGTAAATGCCATATTTTGACTTCTAATATGCCTATTTAATGATTTCATTAATATGTATGTTATTTATATCAAAAGTTGTGCAGTAAAAGACTTAGAAAAATTCAATAAATTGGTGATTATATTTATATCAAAATGATTAAAATTGGATTTTTTATATTAGAATTTGAAACTGCAATTAAAGAATTGCTCTTTTCTATTCATCAATCATTTAAATTAATATCAACGTACAATGGTCTATGACAGATGACATGCGACAAGTGTCGTTTTGACATTACATTATATATTCGCGACCGTTCGGCAAAAAAGAAGTGTATTGTTATTGGCTTCGGTTGAGTAAAGGGGTGGTCGTGAACGTAACGTTAATGGAAATTTTCCTTTCCCTGCCGACCCTAACCGGTGGGGCGCACCGAAAAAGGGAGGCGGGCGCAAGCGCGTCCACAATGTCTGGGTCCGGGTAAAACTGAACGGAAGTGCCCGGATTTTGGCGGCCACACGCGAATTCGAGGCACACCGTCACATGCCGAAAATCGATAAAGTAACCTACGAGGGGTGCAAAGGGACGCGAGGGGGTGCGTTAAGTTAGGCTGTGCATGTGGCATTCACAAGGAACAAACACAAGTCCACGCGACCTATTTCACAAAATTCGAGAGACCAACCCCTCCAGTTTGCAACGGAATATAATTATAATAAACGAATAAAACGTCCCCGTGGTCCTTGCAAGTTGGATAGCTTAAACATGCTCTTCTGAAATAGCAGAAGTCATAACTATTGACGTACTTTACTGTTGTTGTAAATTTTATAGCTAATAATCAATACCGGAGACTTGACCTTAAGGCACCCACCCCAAATTTATTTCCGTCCTACACATTAATGGCTTTCTTAAAGCACAATATGTGTTTAATATAAACGCATGAAATCAGTTGGTTTCCGCTTTGCTAACGACGATGCATATAACAATAAACGACACTATTTATCGTACTCTAAATATAAGTAATAATGATCTATACATTTATAAATATAGTTATAGAATACATCTATTTTTTAGATCTATTATTTACTAGTTAATATATCATATAAACAGTTAACAGGTATGTTATCAAGAGTATTGGGAAGATTATCTTCATTCATTTATTGCTAATATATTTCCTAAGACTGTATATTAAGCATTTTTCATCGAAACTTATCAGTTTATGTTAGCAATATATTTAAATTATAATTATTAATTAATACTAATAATTTATTGGCCAGACATCAATACAAAAGAAAAAAAGTACATTCTAGTACAAATAAATAAATGATAATAATAAAAAATTATAACAACTCTCAAAATAAATAAATTCTAACACAAAATAAAAAAAAATATTAATAGGCTGGCCAAAGGGCTATCGACCGAGTTTAAATTATATAAAACTGAAATAAAATAAACGATTATTTTCTGTTATTTTTAGAACTTCTACATCTAAAGAGATTACATTATTATTAATATCCAACAATATATATTGTTTATAATAGACATAAGAATAAAAGTTGTTAAATCCTATTAAGAGAGATTAGCCTGTTTTAAATGTTCAACAACATAAAAATAACTGCCAATGACTGTTAATGTTGAAATAAATAAATAAATAATAAAAATAAACCAGTAGAACAAAAGATTGTTAATTGTACATGTAATATGTTGAGTTCTTCTAGTAACAAAATTTATTAAAGAAAGTAATATTGGCTTTATTTATTGTTGCTATATTTTTTTTATAAAATATTATATGTGAGATCTTTGATTAAAGTAATAAAAATATTGATGTTAGATAGACATTAATTATTTAGTAATACTGAAATACTTCAGTTAAAAAAATGATAATGTTTATTTTGAAATAATGAATTATCTAATTGATTAAATAAATCAAATTGATGATAACATTAATGTTTTTAGCAATTGGAAAAGAGAAACTATTATTTGCGTTCAAAATTAAATGTTTAAAGTTTAAATGACTTTCAATGAGATGCTATAGAAAGTATATTTTAATGAACTAATATAGTAAAATATTATTAATTGTTTTCATTTGCAATTATTTTTTTTATGATATTTTTTAAAATTTATTCTAGAAAAATGTTATAGACTATAGTTTTTTTGTATTCTATATTGTCAATTATAACTTTACTCTCCGGGCGGAATGCCCTTGGGCGTTAGCCCTTTGATTATAAGTGTGGCTAATAAAAATGTTAAATAAATATTATTATTTTATATTATTTATTTGCTCCAATCTACAATATGAACAATAAATATTATTTAGAAAATCGAAATATATTTTTAGACCGCAAAAATTACAACAAAAAAATAGTATTGGATGTAGTTAGTTAATCTTTTAGGGTAAACTTTTCCGGTGCATTGCTATTAGCATAATTAAAACATAATATTTACTTAAAATTATAGTGGTTTGGAACGCTCAAGCCTATTTATTGTTTTCAATTTATTCTATATAAAAATAATAAAATATTTTATTTTTAGATTGATCAGAATTATTCGTTTTATTAATATTTGTATGTTATCATTGAAATTGGAGTGAGTCAATTTTTTTGTAATGAAATTCTGTGAATCAATAATTTTAATTTAAATGATTTGGCTCTGATTAACAACATTAATTGAATTATGAATGCAAGTACTATTATTGATTTAGTGAAATGCATAAGATCGATTTTGTGCAGTGTGCCGACGATGAATATAGTTTTGGAATGAATGAAAACGGTCAGAGGAGGCGGCGGCCAAAGAGGTGAGTTGGGAAAGGATGTGTAGTGTCGTCCTGGTCCCGGCCCCTCCGCCACCGCTTCCACCGCCGCCGCCCTCATCCCTTTCCCTTCCACACGGAGTTTCCGTAATCAGGATCGATTTTGTTGGAAAAGCTGCGTCGTTGCGTGGCATTTGGAGCCGTTGGCGCCATGCAAACCTAGTAGGATATTTTCAGTGGTGAGTTGCGTCCGCACCGGATCGAATCTATTCAGTCAGTGTTCAGAAAGACGCGACCAGAAGCGAACGTACCCAAATCCACACGTTGCTCACGGCACTCTCGTCGATCGATACTACTACTACCTTCGTATACCCAACCTACCTACCTACTAACAAAATAACAACAACTTTGTACCAAGACCGTGACCTGTGGACATCCACGAAAATCAACAGCATTTCCATTGTTAACAACGATTCAATTCGATTATCAAATGGAAAATGGGTTAAAACTTCTCGCTCTCTATCTGTAATAAATTAGAAGATCCGAAGGTATCTTTCAACTGAAGTGCGAATATCTATCCGAAAGAGACTCTCTGATTGAAGAAAGAAAACAGCTAAAGCATGGCTAATAAAGCGGCCACCGAAGTTCGCAACGGGCACGAGTTGGCCCCCTTGAACTCGCGGCAGGAAGGACGTCCAGGTGTCACAATAGTCTTGCAGGGTCGAGGTTCGATCATCTCGAGAGGATCGAGGAACAGCGGAGGTTTGGAACCAGAATCCGATAGGGCAGCATGGTCTGGCAAAATGCAGTTCTTCCTCTCTATCATCGGCTACTCCGTCGGTCTCGGGAACATCTGGAGGTTCCCCTATCTGTGCCAGCAAAACGGTGGAGGTACGTTCTTCAATTACCTTAACATTCCTTATTTTTCATCTTGTATATAATTATATGAAAATTATATATGAAAATATCTATATTATATATATTTGGAAAAAAGTAAACAATCAATTGATTCTAATTACATCATGTACAAAATTAAAACTTAATTTTTTCAATTAAAAAAAATATTGCAATTAATATTTATGTTTTACGTAAATAAATAATTATTGGAAAAAAACAACTTGAAATATAAACATAATCATAAAACTTACAAAACTAAATAATTGACAACAAACACAAATTGGTTTATATAATTCTATCAACTTCAAGGTCAAACTAAAATATGAAAGACATTCTTTTGATAAGTATTTTACCATCATAAATACCTGACTTCGACTATTTTCTCGTTAACTAGGTTAGTATTTTCAACTTATTTTTTAATCGAATTATCATTATTTTTGTAGAAGCTCAAAATCAATACAAAACTAATAATAAAGAGTTGAAATGTATTTTTATAAAGAAATCCGCATTAAATATTATCAACATTATATTAATTAATTATTTGTTATTAGTTATATTTATTAATATAATTTATATCCTTCCTTTTTTTTATCAATATTTGTTTTAATTCTTTTGAATATGAATTAATAATATTAAAATATTTGATCAACAATAAATAATTATTAATTGAATGAAAAAAAATGTAATTAGCATTTCATATTCGTTTTTTTTCTTAATAATACAAATCGACCGAAGTAATAAATCCAATTATTATTAATATTAATTATTTATTCAAATTATAAATCAAATGAATGTATATAAGTAAATATTTGATTTAGTTCAAGTGTTTAGTGGAATTTATTTATTTCTCGAATTTAGTAATACATTTGAAATTTGAAGTAATTATTACAATGTTGCATGAAGAATGTGGTTTTTGAACTATGTAACATGTTTTTACGAGTTTTTACTGTAACAAATCATCTACGTTCTACTAGAGAGCCAATCTATTTGCGAATAATTGGCAACGATACAAATCCAAAAAGTATTTGGCTAAAACTAATTAATATGTTTGCATAGTTATTTTCATACAAATTCAATCTAATTAATAATTGCAAATTATGTTTAAGATAGAAACACATATTTACTGTCTTTAATTTTTTATATGAATTTGGAGATATAAATCTTTATTATAACATAATTCTCTTAATTACAAAAATGATAGAATGTATAGTTTCATGTAATATTATACGAAAATATGTAAATGTTAGTTTAAAACACAGATGGCGCTGCATCCGGTAAGTGTCAACTGGTGGTGCCATCTTGAAACGATTAATTTTAATTTTAAAACCTTGCGAAGTGAGCCAAGTTTTCGGCAGTTCAAAGTCATAAACACTGACTATAAAATAACGTTAAATATATTTCGTAAATTAAAAAACAAATATGTACTGCAATATATATATGCATTTATGATGGATTCACATGGTATTCATTTTCGTTGAAGAAGAATTGAAAACGTTTCCAAGGCTGTGTGTAAATGTTTTATATAGACAGATCGATAAAATACAAATTTGAAACGCATTTAGATTGTTTTAAAAATAGCACAAGACTGGTGGATGTCGTTTATTCGTTTCATTAAACACGCAATTCATTAATTGTAATAGTTTGTAATTGTTTATAATTGATAATTTGCTCATCAAATTATAAATAAAATTGGGGAAAAAAATATTTTTTTTTGTTTGTTTTTAATAATTTTAAACAGTAATGTTTGGATTTATTTATCTTAGTTGGAACATAAGAAATGATTCTGAAAAATAAGTGTTTTTATTGGTCAAATAATATTATTAATGTTATAAAAAATGTATTGTTTTTCTTCAATAAATTAAATTATGTAAATTTCGAAACTAATTATTTTTTCTAATAGCATTATATTAGAAAAAAATAATTAATTTACATATTTTAATTTATTCAAGAATTTCTAAATAACATTTTAGGTCTTTCTGTCCAACAATATTGTATTAACACCGAATGAAATTAATGTTGCGTTACTAATGAATCTTAAAATATACATTTGATCCTCAAGTTAAAAAAAAATGCGTTTGAAGATTGAATGACTGAATACGAGCAAGAATACTCAACATAAGTGAAAAAAAAATGTCGAAATTTATTTTCGCGGCTGTTTTATATCGGGCGTACACAAAGTAGACAGGCAAATTCGAATAAATGTTTTCTTCTCTATATCACATGAACTGACATTGCGTGAAAAGATATTTTTGGAAAGTAATTTAGAATAGTCCTACAATTATTTTTTTTTACAACAATTCTTCCATAATAAAATTAAATTATATTTTACGAGTCAAATTGATTGTTTACATATTGCAAATGCACTGCTTATAACTTTTAATTAATTAAATGCGAAAACATTGATGAAAAGAGTTAATTGTCGTTACCGGCATGAAAAAATCTAAAAAATGAGTTACTTTCTAAATCTAATAACTAGATACTTCAATTATCTATTGCATTTTTTCTTTGCCTTCTTTTGATATCAATAACTGTTTTAATATACCAAATTAATTAAATAACAATTTTGCATTGATAATTACAAAAATATAAATGAGTCTAAATTGTATTAAGAAAAGTAAAATGTTACAAAATTAATGTTGTTAGTAATGTTTATGAAATGTATTATAACAGGTATTGCGATTAAATTGAAAGCACCATATTTCAATTATCGATTAACACGGAATCCATTTACACGTCGATCGTATCCTAACTCGTAACCAATAAACCTATTGTATCTGATAAATTGAAAATGAAGGTTATATTGTGCAGAGAAAATTAAATTGTATTTGGGATACTAATTACTTTGAAAGTAATTAAATTACTTCGAAAGTATGCATACTTTATAAAGTCGTTATTGTTCTCTCTTCTCATTTATTTATTCAGCTTTTTTTAAATAATGTAAGTGAAAGATCTTAAGGTGCGTATATACATTTTGTCAAGTTTGATTGTATTTGACGACTTGAGCAATTGTAAGATAAATAATACATTAAGTAATTTAATATGTGATTGGTTGTCATGGTTACCAATAACAGTAATTAAGATTATGATACTGCTAGTCATTTCACTAAATAAAGCTTTACTATCAGAGGCGGACCGTTATTTGACGGGCTTGGGCTAACACTGTTTGCGGGCTTACGACTAACACAGTTGGGGGGCCATAGTGTTTTTGGTTTTAGCCCATGGTGCCCGAAGTTTACGGTTTCCACTTGTATATATGTATCTATATAAATAGAACAAAATAAATCGATTTAAAGGATATAATCCGTTCAAATCGGTTTGTTTGCTGCCTGAATTGTTCATTAAGGGGGGTTCCCAAATTGTGCGCTGCAGCTGTACTACAGGAGCACCGCGAAAAGCAATTATTCTAATATAATATAATGTATTAACATAAACTTCACCCTGAGATAGACCATTTTTTGAAGCCGCGGAATAATTCTGTTATATTAAGGGCACCGCAAACCGAAAAACTTTGAGAACCCTTGCATTAACCAGTTATTACACTAGTGCTAGCTCTCGAAACTAACGGTAAGTTAGGTATTCGTTATCCTGACATATAAAAATATTTCGAGAAATGTCTGTTATCCGATTTGTTCTCAGTCCGAACTATTTATTAACTGATGACATTCATTTTCAAATAATACATTAAAATTTTAGATAGATATGAATAAGGTAAAATATAATTAAATATTGATTTACATTTTGAATTGTGTAACTTGATTTGAAAATGGAACAAGTCTAACGTTCCGGTAATTTCTCATTGAGGAATCGATCGAATTCCAATAATAACGTATTACTTTCGCTGCGTATTGACTTTGCCCAATCAAAAAAACTAAAACTTAACTGAATCATTTACTTAAACCAACTAATTACATTTTAAAACTATATTTATAAATATAAAAAGATACGTTTTTTTGTATCTATTCTATTTTATTTATTTCGTAAATATTTAGTGAACCGTAGTTTATTTAATAAAGCTATTGAATTACGTTAAAAACATTTTTTTTATTATTTAATTAAAAAACCGAATCTGTGTTTTCATGATAACTCATATTTATGTATCAATACATTCCTACGTATATTTCTTACAAATATTTGCGACATTGTCTTTACTTTAGTCATTTGCCAAATATTAGAAATCGAGGGAATATATACAAAACCAGTGACTAACCTATATTGAAATCGAAAGATATTTAGAGCGAGTGCAGAGGAATGTATAGAACGTTAGTAATGATTCTTAAAATACATTTTTTTTTCTGTTGAAAGGTTTTGACTCTTTCTAATATTCAAAGATCAAATGGAAATTTTCGTTTGTTAAAAAACTATGTTTTGTTGGCTTGGTATATACTACTAAGTTTTCATTAACTTCTGCTGTTAAAATTAGAGGTCTTGTATGTAATTATTTTATACAAATTCAAAAAATATTGGCTATATCTAAATGAACATAATACAAAATAATAATAATTATATAGTTAACTAAATATATTTGGCCAAAAGGTTGTCGACCTAGTAATAGTTTTACATGGAAATAACAGAAAATGTATAAATATGTTTAAAGCATATATTGTTTCTGTATAGTATTTCAAGTAAATAAGAAGAAGTCTGTCAATTGGAAAATGCGGTTTGAGAAATAGAAAATTGCAGATGGTAATGTTAATGGTAAGAGCGTTATGTAGAGAGGCACGTGCAAAAGCGCACGAGGCAAATGTGCAGAGCAATTGATAAGATTCATCTTGCTGCCATTCCAATTTTGCCTATACTTCACATCCCGTGCCGCCAATTAAACGAATTCAGTCATAGTTGATTAAGTCAGTTTCGTAACAAGGATTTAATAACGACGTGTATGGAAGGAGAGGACAGGATAACGATGACGGTGACGAGGATTTAGCCTGATTGTTCTTCGTCATTTCCCTCGCATTCAATTTTGTGAATCCTGTCCGAGCCCTAATTCAATTTGC